GTCGCCAGAATTTTTTCTAGAGGGGGGCAAAAATTTTTTTTTGCCAAAAAATGCTTGTATTTCTCAACACATTCTCGATTTATCAGTTTTAGAGGGGGGCAGGGACATTTTGCCCCCCTCCCAACTCATTAAATTTACACCACTTTGTCTTCGCGCCTCTTTTTCTTTTCTTTTCTTTTTCTTTTCTTTTTCTTCCCTTTTTTTTTTTTTTTTTTTTTGCTTTTCCGGGGGGGGGGGGGGGGGGGGCAAATGCCCCCCCTTGCCCCCCCCCTCGCGACGCCCATGATGTCACGCACTGAACCAATATACAAGTATAACATGGTTTGAGGGTGGACAGTCGATATTCGCTCCCCGAGGTATTGGAAGTTGACAAACTAATTCCCGAGGCGAAGCCGAGGGAACTAGTTTGTCAACTTCCAATACCGAGGGGAGCGAATATCGGCTGTCCACCCGAAATAAACCATGTTATATTTGTTTTACTATACCTCATACATATTTAGCGCTGATTTGGGGTTTTTTTTCGTTGCAGTATGCACCTAATTTTTTTTTTAAACTTCACCAGTTCACCAAAAGAATCGTATTGCTCAACTCCACTAGTTCAGTTCGTTTACAATGCAGTGCAGCTGTAAATAGTTTGTGTGCAACATTCTTTTGTACAGGAGATATCTTTATTGTCCATAAATATTTTCTAGTTCGCTCGGGAAAATAACGCGCCGTGCAACCATCTCATCGTGTGTAACTCGTTTGGGCGATGTTCGCGCGTGCGTACTACACCCGTGCGACAGTTCCAAGATTGCTTTGTAAAACGCATGCGTAGTAGACTGTCGTACGGGTAACCCGTGCGACAGTCTACTACACATGCGTATTTACCCTGTGCGTGAATCCTCGCGCGCGCGTTTGGTAAACAGCACAAATAACATCTGGCATGTGATGGCGAATTGACCAGTGAGTGTTCGGCTCTCGACCATGAATATGTATGAGGTATAGTAACAAATAATAGCAACCGCGCATGCATGTGCGTAGTCTCGCACATTTGTGTTTTTAATTATGCAACGAGCGCACAATCAACCCAAAACCATTATCACGCACTATCGCTGATATAGAGGGCGCTATCTCCTGACTACGGAAGCTTGAATTGCCGCGATACCGCGTTACCGTGATAATTTATCACCGAAATCCGGAATTCAAAGATAATTCCTTCCTCGATACAGGGTTACCGTGATAATTTATCACAGAAATCCGGAATTCAAAGATAATTCCCTCCTCGATACATTGTTACCGTGATAATTTATCACAGAAATCCGGAATTCAAAGATAATTCCTTCCTCGTGTTACTGTGATAATTTATCACAGATATCTGAATTCAAAGAAAATCCCTTCCTCGATACCGCGTTACTGTGAAAATTTAGAAATCCGGAATTCGCAGATTTGGTTGTCCAAGGTCACATTTTTGGATAGGTGGTTGGCTGCTTAAATTCTAGTCAATTTTGGATAATATTGAAGACTTAAAGTAAATGCACCATTTGAAACTCAAAATATGAAACAGCCTAAATTTGATGTGATGAACTTTATAATAGGATCGAGTATTCCTTTACTTTGGAATCATTGCCGTGCCGGTGCTCATCTCATTTTCGAGGAAAGAGGAATTTACCACCCTCGCGATGGTAATTAGCACCAAACCACAGCACAGTGTCAAAATCTTGCTTTACGTCTAGACAAGTAAAGATGCACTTGTAACGCAGTATCAAGGAATAGATATCTTTGAATTCCGGATTTCTATGATGAATTATCACAGTAACACGAGGAATGGGTAATCTTTGAATTTCAGATTTCTGTGATAAATTATCACGGTAACGCGGTATCGAGGAAGAAATTATCGTTGAATTTTGGATTTCTGTGATTAATTATCACGGTAACGCGGTATCGAGAAATAGCTATCTTTGAATTCCAGATTTTTGTGATAAATTATCACAGTAATGCGGTATTGAGGAATACAATGTATGTATTTTTGAATTCCGGCTTTCTGTGATAACTTATCACGGTAACGCGGTATCGCGGAAGGCAATTCAAGCTTCCGTACCTGACGAACCGCTATCACACACGAAACCAATATCACACACGAACGGCTATATAGCGGTTTGTGTGTGACAGCGGTTCGTCAGGAGATGGCGCCCTTTATCAGCGAGGCGGTTGATGTTACGAGAAGGGGCTGGCAGCGAGAGTCAAATCGGCAATGGGCAAGTGGAGAAGACGAAGAGGTTACTTTTCGGATATCCAAACTGTTATTAGTTAAGAACAAATATGAGCTGTTTTAATTATTATTTTTGAAAGGCCTTGCTTTGGCGTCTGTTGCAAACTTATTTACGTTGTTGGTTTTCTATTTCTGATGGCAGTGTGACGATATCCATTGATTTAATAGCAATTTATAATTTGATTCTGTGTTAGAATGACTCTCATGTACTTTGCACGGTTTTAAAATATGCTTAATGTTTGGACAGTTAATCATTAGGTCCGAAATATCATAGATTATTAGCTAGTTGGATCTAGTCTTGCTTGGTGGTTACATTGAATTTTAGAAACGATCGGGAATCCGTATTGAAGGTCAGATTTCCAGTGGAAGCATTAGGTTAGCAACCTAAAGTTTTTGGAAACTTGTGAAATGTGTCCTTGTGTGGCCGTGGTTCACGGTTGCTAAAATTATTTGCTTTTAAAGATCACTTTTTGTCAAATATCTAAATGAATTGATTTCGTTTTAATTTGATGTGTGTGATTGGTTGGGCGAATGTAAGAGTTATGGATATCTTGCAGGGAATAGCTGCCATTGCACTTGTCGAGGTGATGTTAGGTTTCTAGAATTCATTGCGTAATTGCCAGACGATTCGATTTAATGTCAATTCTTAATTTTGAGATGAGATCGAGACGTGGTGCAGAAGGTGATGGAAACAATGGAGTTTGCTAAATGGTTATAAGAATGCAAGTCACTGTAATTCAGTTGGGTTGAGCCAAGTGCATGACTGTCTTGTGGGAAACAGAATTAAGGTATCAAACCTGAGTGTGTGAAATGGTAATAATGCCAACACACCAAACCGGCTACTGTAACAATGGCTCTATCTTCTGTTGTGATTTGATTCCGACCAAAAACCAGCGACCAAGAAATTAAGTCCAGTTTGTTGATACTGATCTGATACTGAGACAACGGAGCTGCACAAAGGGTTGTTCTCATCACCTGCTGCCTACTGTGTTTCACAAGAATTGCGTATATTTTGTGCTATCAATAAGCTTATTTTTTAAGCCTGTTCAGATCTTTGACCCTGCCAGACTGTGATAAGCCTTGGGTAATCCAGTTGTCACAGTTGTAGACTCAAAGAGAGAACAAAATTACAAGACTAGGTTCACGTAGTACATGTAATTAATTTTGACAAAGTGTATGTTGTTTTGCATTTTCAATGATTGTTTGTAATGTTATAATTGGTGTTGGTCATTTCAGTGCATTAGTTCAGTGCCGTTTAAAACGTGCCTTGACCAAATTTGGAAGAGTCAAGTCATATGTACTGGAATTGGAATAATTGTTTCTTTTTGTTTGTACCTGCAGGGGCAGATACTTTTCAAAACATGGGGGAGTTGTAGTGATGTGAAAAGTAATTATATAAATATGCATGGCACGTAAACAGTGCGCATAAGAACAGGTGTGCACGCGAACAGCTGTGCACGTGAACAGCTGCGTTACATAGGTACATGCGCGTGCACGCGTGCGTATGCTAAAATACTTTGATAATAATATTTTGAGAAAGAAATTCGTTTTTTGAATTTAAAAAGAATTTTGGAAGGAGTTGGTTTTTGGCGATGGAAGAGAGAAGATGTGCATTGTAATTGTGACACAGCTGTAATAAAGTCAGAAGACGTTTTGTAACATCACACAACGGAAGTATCCTCACTGTTTTTGGTACAAGACTGAATTCCCCTCCTACACTTCACACAAAGTTTTCTCAGGATCCGTTCTTGAATCTGAGAGCTTTACAATGCTTTACACTACTAATGGAAATTTCCAAAAATTGTTCAATTCCCAATCTTTGGTAATGACCTTCTTTTACTGTCTTCCTCAAAATGACAGCATGCCAGAAGGAATCATTTCACAGGGAGTTTAGTCCAATTACTATCTTTAAACCAAAGTAAGCTTTCAAAACATAATTTGGTCAGTTACTTTTTGGATAGCTGCAAATGATCCACTCTACCTTTAAAGAAGATATAGAGAAATCTGATTGTCCAAAGTTGAAACCTGCAACTTCTAAAAAAATCTTGGGGTGTGTGCGAGTGTGTGAGTTGAGTGGAGAGGGGGAGTTAATGCCCCTCCCTCCCTCATTGATCCCATGCAAATGGTCTAGCTACTAAATGTACTCACCTGTTGCAGCTGAGGGGGCGGGTACCTGTGCCTCCTGTTGCATCGTGGAAGGGACATCAGTCTGGCGGGCTACTTTAGATTGTGCACGGCCCATGGTACTAGTGATCACCCAGCCATCAATGGAAGTCCTGTTTGTCAATGATAAATGAAAAGCTGTAACACACTGGTCTTCATTCCAGCTTTAATCTCATTCTTCAGCATGAAAACTTGTACTTACAATGTCGTTTATCTTTGGAAAAAAGACTAGACTTGTACGTAATTCAGCTTGCAAATGAATAAAGCCGTACGTAGATCTACATGTAAGTGGTACATTTTGCTGTGGTCTCAAAGGGTCTTGAGGGTACAACCAGGTCTGGATTATCCAATACAAATAGTCACAGTAGGCACTGTGCCCAGGTCCTACGAAACTTTGGTCTAAAAAAAAGAAGTGGTCTTGAGTGACTGGTAGAAACTGCGCGAGACTGCACAGTTGATCGTCAGTGAGTGAGATAGGTAAAATGCAACAGTGAAACCTCTCAATAGGTTACCCCCGAAATTTAGTAAGAACCAGGAAACAAAATAAGAACCAAAAACTAAAGAAATGAACCATCGTTGAGGCAAAACTTACAGTTAGGTTTGAAGCGGGTTGATTCAGAGACATCCAAGACGACACTAAAGCAATGCAGCTGCTACGCCCACCAATCTCATGACCACTTGACGGAACTACATTATGCAAATTAATATCTCGATAAATGCCCATATATGGCATTGACTCAAACTTTACAAGTTAGGGGCCATTCAGAATTTTTAATGTTTTAAAATTTCGACTTTTTTTCCAAATTATTTTGACCCACCCACCCACCCACCCCTATTTTCGATTAATAAAAGACTGAACATGTACATGTACATGCACTTGTATGTACAGTGTGTACATATACTTGAACATGTACATGTATACCCATGTACTTGTACATGTGTACCCATGTATAATTATGTGTGTCTAGTTCAGTGACGGCGTGAAGTTGTCGGTCTTCCTCTTTTGCAGTGGTGGCCTTCAGTTTTCTTGTGTTTTACCAGCTGATATGCTGTTTGGAAAGACAGGTTGCAGTCTTGGAAGCCACAAAGATGACCGTGGTTTTGTCATTTTCTAGATTAGCCCCATAAATGTGGCCAATTTACTGGACTGCCTCCGTAAATAAAGGTTACACTGCCACCATGTACAAAAACATGTCGAACTTTGTCAAATTTTGATTTTCACATTTAGGCTTAGTTTGTAGTTTATTTTTGCTTTAGAAGAATATTCACCCTCTTTAAAGGCTAATCAGAAAGTGTTGCCTTTTTCAGGTGTCTATTCTCCGTGAAATTTCCAGATTCGTTTGCACACGTTTGCGTATCAAAATTTCAACATGAAATTTTACGAAAAATAGACATCTGAAAAAGGCAGCACTTTCCAATTAGCCTATAAAGGGGGTGAGTATGCTTCTAATGCAAAAATGAACTACAAACTAAGCCTAAATGTGAAAATCAAAATGTTTTTGTATATGGTGTCAGTGTGGCCTTTATTTACGGATGCAGTCCAGTAAATTGGCCACATTTATGGGGCTATTTCTGGATGAGGTGGATGACATGTGACATACGAGGTTGTGCCTGTCACGTGAGGTAGCTGAGAAAAACATTCCCTCGTACCCCCTTCCCTGTTTGCAGGGCAGGGGTACGAGCGAAAGAAAAACATCAGGTTTGGGCAGTCATCACATCACAGGCTGCGGTCCTCGTAGTCTTGGAGTCCAGTGGTTGAATAGTCCAGTTTTTATAGCGATTGGTAATCGACACCCGCGGCGTGTTATAGAGCCGATCTAGTACACCTGGTACCCTGGTGCCTCTGCACGGCCTAACCGCTAGAAACGCCCGGCATCCAAGTCTACCGAAAAACCACCTCCCTCTCATGCCACAGTGGGTCTATATACACGTACATGACGTACATGTACAGTACATACAGCTGTATGTATACTGTACATGTACGTCGTGTACGCGTATACAGGGGACCAAGGGACCAAGTTGGAAAAGAAACACGCATCGCGATATCGGAACGCTTGCGCGTTGTTCAGGCAAGTCAAAAGATCTATCTTTCTTTGTTTTTTTAATCGTTTTTCCATGGAAAGTGAATTTCGATTTTCAATTATTTAGCTTGACCCACCCACCCACAATTTGGAAAAAAGATCGAAATTTTAAAACATTGAAAATTCTGAATGGCCCCTTAATGATTGACAAATGACTTTGATATTCTGTCACATGCAAGCAGGCTGCACCCAATGAAACAAAACATGCAATTTCAATATTTATATCTTGTCCTAATAAGTCTATTTTGTCCTAAATATATCTTAAAACAGCAATAAAAGGCTGTTTTTAATTCTGGCAAATCGCGTATTGATATTATATAAACTACATTTGTCCTAGTAGGCCTAAATAAATACATCTGGGTTTTCCCAAATTGTTGTAAGTCAACACTGAAGTCCACGCTGAAGTGTTTTATTTGGTCTGCTGTCATGGAAAGATCTACAAAGTTGACGAGTCAATGGATGACTTTTCTTATCAAATGGCGTGATTTCATGTGTTCAGAAGTGTTATTCTAAGCTCAGCATCTATTCAATGCAAATTAATTCACCTTTGAGCCTTTAGTCAACACGTGTATAGGCCTGCATAGCTTGGTACAAAAATGTGACACTGATCCACCAAACGTTTCTAGCGGCATATTTTAATACCGGCATTATGAGAAACTATAATCAAATGCAATTAAAAAACTGCTGGAATCATTATTTGGAAGTAGGCCTACATCCTAACACTGGCACTAATGTCTGGACCAACGCTACAAAGGCATCAAGCCTTTCACTTATTAGGAACCATTTTAAAGCTATAGTCCATCATTTGCAGCCATCCGAAAAAGTAACTGGCGTATTTTTGTTGAAAAACTTACTTGGTTGAAAGATAGTAAGTGGACTAAACTCCCTGTGAAATTAATCTTTCTGGCAAGCTATCATTTTGAAGTAATCAACGAAAGAAGGCATTATAAGAAACTATAATAAAATGCAATCAAAAACTGTTGAAATAATTATTTGAAAGTAGGCCTACATCCTAAAACTGGCACTAGTGTCTGGACCAACTCTACAAAGGCATCAAGCCTTTCACTTATTAGGAACCATTTTAATCAATACCGGTAGCCAATCTGACAGTCCAACTAAATTGTTACAAATATATCGAAAACATTACTTACCTAAATTTCAAACTCAACCTGTCACTTCCTGCACAAACCCTGATGCTTTCACCAAGAAATCCAGCCTCAAATTAAAGATGGACAACAGTTTTAAAACACAGATTTCAATTCCTCAAGTTGGAGAATCCAGCGGTTGAATAGCAGGAGGTCGTGGGTTCGAGTCCCACGAGTCCCCCTCTAATAAGCTTGCTTGCAAAGTGGTGGTTTTTTTTTTTAGAATTCTTTATTTCACTGACAGTTTGCAAGGATTTTTCTTTCAGGATTGAGAAAGGTAGAGGACAATGGTACGGAACCTTGAATTGCCTTCCGCGATACCGCGTTACAGCGATAATTTATTGCAGAAATCAGGAATTCAAAGATAAATCCTTCTGCGATACCGCGTTACCGCGATAATTTATCACAGAAATCCGGAATTCAAAGATTCCTTCCAAGATACCGCGTTACTGTGATAATTTATCACAGAAATCCAGAAATCAGAGATACCTATTCCTCGATACCGCGTTACTGTGATAATTTATCACAGAAACCTGGAATTCAAAGATAATTCCTTCCGCGATACCGCGTTACTGCGATAATTTATCACGTATACGGAAGCTTTAAATTCATATGTCTCTCCTCTCTACAATCGATGAGTGCGCGGTGTCACGTGAGGATTTGTGGGCAGTAAGAAGAGAATACAATTCTGCTTACAATATTGTTTGCTGCACTCCAATCAGATATTCTGGTGACAAGTTATGACTGTTTAAAGTTCACGTTTCTCGACATGTCAAAAAAGTAAAATACTTCAAAAAGGCCTTTAAAGTTTCAAGTTTTGTATTCGTGAAAATAAAACATGCCAATTTGTGTTGGTTTCTTTTATACAAATATTGAGTGGCTCAGCGTGGAATGGGAGGAATATTATCGCAAGGTAAAATCTGGACTTTTCCATTTCACGAGGCGAAGCCTCGTGAAATGGAAAAGTCCAGATATTACCGAGCGATAATATTCCTCCCATTTCACAATTTAAAGCCACTCAATATTTGTTTTATATAACTGACATATAGATCCTTGTCATTTGATATATTTGAACTTTTATTTCAATACAAACCTGGAGGAAAATGTATTTGTCTCTTCCAAACCACCCCTTCACGAAAATGTTTGAACCAAACGCTGTAGCGCTGGCTCTTTGGAAAAATACGCGCTACGCGCAACGCTGAACGCGCACACCAGCATGCATTTGCACACAAATACCGCGTCATGATCCTAACTGTTGAATAGTATTTCCCATTCCCATGGGCGGATAGTACTTTTTGAGCCGCGGCGTGAATGGGAGCAATAACGAATGTCATGTGATGTGAGTTCCACCAATCAAATGACTAGGATCTGTATGTCAGTTATATAAACACTGCTATTCCACCATATTTATACTATTTCTTTAATATCTGTGTAGCAGACATATAAGGGATTACAACTGTGCCCAGTTCCATTGCATTTTGCCAGAATGCCTCACAAAATTTTTAAATGTTACGAACAGTAAGCAAATGTCCCAATGACTGACACCCCTCGTGCCATGAGGTCCAAAGAGGCATAACTGGGCTGAGCTGAGCATGTGTAGCTTGTGAAGAGATCACATGCAGTGCAACGCAAGATGTGTGCATGTGTCTCTATGTGAACCATGTGAACTCATCAATTTGGTGTACGTAAAATTTAATACATTTGATAACTTTTCATAACATTGTTGACTACCGGTAGGCCAAGAGTAAACATTCCCCCGCTTCAGATTACTTGCTGTTTTAAAATGGTGTAGGCAGGCCAGGATTTGTAAAGACAGCACCAGACAAGACAAACCCAGAAAAGTGAAATCAAGCTTTGTGCATCAACACACACAAAAACCCATACTGAAATGTGTATCCTTGTGGAGACATTTCTTTGTTTCGTAGTAGGGCCTAAGGTTTTCGAGTTTGCAAGTGAAGATTCAAAATGATCTTATTTTAACCAGAATTATTTTCCTTGGCTGAAATTTGGGCTTAATATCCCTTTTCTAAAACTCTTCCGTTTGCGACAGATCAACCCACCTTGGAAATTCCTAGTTTTTGAGTAAAATCCATATATCTATTTCGTGAAAACCTTGTGCAGACGTATTCGTCTAGATAGAATTTGCCTTGTGGAGACGTATACAATCTTTTGTTCCCTATTGTGCACACGTCTCCAGAGGGCACGTTGTATGAGATCCTGTTTTCCAAAGATGTTTTCGTGACCTTTTTATGATGTAGAGATTTGACTTTATGTTCAGTGCTGTAAACTGCTCCTACTTCTTCCAGCATTGGCTATTATCTTTACAGTGGCAAGAACCATACATCCTGCATGTACTGGTACGGTGCATGCTTTCACCTAGGTAAAGGAAAGCTTGCAAGTCTCATCAGAAAACTGAGTTTGAAGGTAACAAACCAGAAAGTAAACATACCGACGGCAGAAATGTTGTCTTTTTTGTGGTGAGGAAGTTGCTGAGAAGCATGTTCTTTGAGACGAAATGGACATAAACAATTGTTTACGTAGGTTTTAACTTCTTTTGCGACATGCACCAGCCAGATATGCAATTGTATTGCAAGAACTTGCAAAACTATTTTAACTGAACAATATATAAAGTGCATCAAACATTCTGATCAAACATTCTGATATCGAACAACCCTGGGAGTCAACTTATTCAGAATTTAAATCAATTTCACTTAAATATATTGTACTTCAAATTCATTACTTCAAATAATGCCGTGATTGATGGTACTCACCATGTAACGATGTATCGCCAGTGTTCGTTTCGCAGGGTGACCTTTGTTTGACCTCCAACAGGACCTCCAGGTGTGTCACATGCTGTAATGATGAAAAACAACAAATCCACAGGAAAATAAGACGCAAGATTCTAGAAGAAATGAACAAAAGATATGGAAATGTTTCCATTGTGAATTATCGTACAGCTTATCAAACAAGAAAGATAATGTTGGTCCTCATTTTTCACACTTTTGTCGATTTGGAAACAAGAGATTAGACCACAAAATGATTTGAAGAATCCTCATACATGTGTTATGCCCCAACTTGGTCGTCGGACCCAGCTTATGTTGGGACTGTCCCAACTTGAGCCAAACTAGATCATCCAAGTTGCAATGGGCAGGCCTAACTTGGGTTGGGCACTGCTACTCATACATGGATGTTATGTTAGAGGGCACCATTTACCAACGAGCGTAGGTGCCAGTGATGAGCACATCCACGGCCATGTGCTGCACAGTGTCATCAGACAAACTGAGCCATTTTCTACACGGTTTTCCAGAAGTTGCTACAAAAAGATGACATGTTTGATCTGCCTCTGAGCTCCCAGGCCCGGCCTGAGCGTGTGCCCTTGGTCCTACTGTCCTGGCGGTAGGACCATGCAAGCATCCTGGCCCTATCCCGACAATCCTCATCCCAAGGGCCAACTTTACTTTTGTCATCCGGTTTTGCTGGACAAAATCATGGGAAAAATGTTGCTGCCCAACTGGATCACCCAAGTTGGGACAGTCCCAACATATATTGGGACCGACGAGAAGTTGGGGCGTAACACACGTGTCAGTATAGGCTAAGCAAACTGATGCGGCTATTGTAATCCATTCATAAATACCTCAGACAGTTTAGCCATTCCTATTGGTCGAGAGCCCGTCACGTGGCCGGTATTAAACGGATGATAAAGACATGGCTAGCTGGTCTTAAACACTTTTCCAGTGTCACAATAAAATGTGGACTCCTAAAAATCCAGTGCCTCTTATCGTTTCATTGGTTGAACGTTCACAATCCTCACGTAGGCATGCGCAACACTACCAGGGAGTTAGAATTTTATAGTTCTAAATTCAAAACGCAACGCGCCAGGTGCGTTCTGCGCGACATCGCATAGAACATGATACGCGCGCGTCAATCTCCATAAAAGGGTTGTTTTCATCTTACTCGCCAGCTGAACACTCCATTATTTTGCAGGAGGGATGATTCAAAAAGCATAAAGTGAAGTTGTTGAACAAAATCGGGATGTTTTGAACGAATTATATGATTTTTTTTTACAGAAAAGGTATTTATGAATGGGAATAAATATGTACTCCGTCGGTATTTATCACTCTGTTTAATACCACTTAGAGTCTGGGTGCTGATAATTACCCTCGCCTCCGGCTCGGGTAATTATCAGCACCCAGACTCTAAGTGGTATTAAACAGAGTGATAAAAACCTCCGGAGCACACATTTATTCCCTTATTAAACATCAAAAAGTCATTTACTTTCATAACCTTCATATTTTCCTAACAAATCAACTCTATATACACAATTCATTTCGATTGTGTAAACATTTTCAAAATTCTTCCAGCAATTCAAGTCATGCATGGATAATTCAATTTATAAATACAATGTTGCGGATAATGTATCATAGCAGGTTCAATGAACTTTGATGTTTCTTAAAAGTAAAAAAAAATATGTTCCTCAATAAAATTCACTTCATGGACCCTGCCAACGTACAGGATTTGCAGGTCAGCATTTTAGCGTGAGGTAGGCAATTCGTTACCGACACCGTGACCACGAAGTAATCCTCAGTTCTGCATGGGTGCCAAGCACGCATGTTTTTTTTTTTTTTTTTTTTTACAGAACCACGTTATTTTCGTTTTCACGAAGTAACAGCTGGCACATTGTGGCACCGGATGCGTGCAATCCATACATTTTCGTTTTCACGAACTAACACTGATTTGTGATTTGTTGACTTGTTTTGCAGATTTTTTGATTACAAGGTATTTATGAGTGGGAATTTCTTTGTGCTTGGCTGTATGTTTCAAACCGGCTAGGGGCATGGCATGCCTGGAAGCAGATATTGGCCCTCGCCTTCGGCCGGGTCATTATTGGCAACCAGACCCTAGTTGGTTTCAACGTACTTGTTTCAAACCGGCCAAATACATATTTATTCCATTAAAATGGTCATTAAGTTCAATGCTTGTTCATATTATCCCTTTATTTGTGCGTGCCTTTTGGGGGGGGGGAGGGCGGGGAATGAATAATTGAGAGTGACCTACAATAAAGGCATTTTCATTAAACTGATTCAGTCCAACGTGTAAAAATCAAAACATGTACAGGTAGTGTAAGGTCAGAAACAAAACAGGTTTGTTGAAGGCAACGGCTAAACTAAGGCCGCTTCTCGACTGGCCTTTTACTTGTGCCGTGACGAACTAGCCTTGGTCAAGGTGTTCGTCAATAGTGCTTTATACAGTGCATAGCGCATGCCCAGCGCATGTCAGATACCATCACGGACAATGTCAACAAATGCCTTGACCAAGGCTACATGTAGTTCCGTCGCGGTGCAAGCAAATCGCAGGTCAACTTGAGGCCGGCCTTAGACCCATCTCCCTCATTGAAGTACTGCTGGGCTGTGAGTTTACAAGATAATAGGGTAATCGGGTATCCGATAAACACATGGGCTGGATTGTGTTTGATTGAATATCCGAAAAAGAGGACAGGGATGATGGTGGGTTTGAACCATTCAATTCTGAGCAAACCAGAAAGTCACACACTATACACTCTTCCTCACATACTCATCTTAAGGTAAAATGCAATACAACAGAATGTGACTGACACAAAATGATCACACCAGAAACAATTGTGAGATACTAACATCAGGTATTTTAATATGAAACCTGAATGCAATCCATATGTCTACTCCATCAGGCTATAACTGGGCAAGTGAATTCATACACGTTACGTCCAAGGAAAGTTTAACCCTCTAAAAAGCAAATAGATCAGTGCGTTTCTTGTATTCTGTTGGGTGTCTGAAAGGAGTATACTGTACTGTTATTCTTTGTGATGAAGAAGACATGGTACGCTACGTATGGGACCACAAGGGGACCTTTTCTTGGACTTGACCTACTTGCAAAAAAAGAAAGTTTGTCTAGTTATCAGGTTATGTTTAAGAGTACTAGGCCTTTTAATATGTGATTACAGATATAAATGCAAAACTAGTCTATCAATTAAAAAGTATGCAAATAAAGAGAAACTTTCAACATTTTCAGCCACTGCAAAGCATAGAAAGTGAATTTGACACCACACTTCATTAACATCCAAACATGTCAGAATATTGTTGTTGTTTTTTTAATTATATGAAAAAATATGAAAACAATTACAATGCACCTAGTCAGTTACTCTTCGTGCTTTATTTGAAAAAAAAACCCAACCATTGGTTTCATATTTCCCTCAGTAGTTTCAATGTTCAATTAATATAATTCTGAAAACATTTTCTCAGTTATCCCTTCATCTTTTTGCAGTTTTTAAAATTGATCTTCCCACCAACCTTTGCACCAATGTTTATGGGTCATTCCATGAAGTTGAGGAACAGGCCATAATTTTCTGAGGTCTGATTATAAAACAGTTTTTTCTTTGTTATGGAACTGTTATTTCTAAAACAAATGTCATTTGACAATAAGGCTATAAGATAAGCTTTTAAATGATACCATGCTTGATGATATTCAGAAATAACTTTCATACCCAAATTCTGTAAATGTTATGGCGTCTGGCATAAAAAAAATGAGGAAAAAGTGTGACAAAGCAACCTACAGTTCAAAAATAACTCATTTTGAAAAGAAAACAAGTGGACTGGAGTTGAGGATTTACACAAATTAGAGCAAGAAGATGTACCCTTTCTATTGAAAAAAATAAATATCAGATTTTAAAATGTTTTGCCAAAATGACATGCACAATTTAAAATGGCTTGTGGATGTAACATATGGTGTCCCTTGTTACAAATTATGTGACATCCACAACCGGCATGTGCAAAGTTTTCTTTTTGCAGCAATTTTTGGTCGGATTGACCCCAATTTTGACTCGGATTGAACTGGTATTTGTAAAATAATGTGATCGTAGTCTATGCAAATAAATGTTTTGGCCAAATATGAAGAAATCTTATGCCTGTTGGCACATGGTGTCCATGTTACATCCACAACCGGTTGACATGGTCATGCCTAAAATAAGTATGAAAATCATGACCTGCAATCTGCAAGTGCCCTTGAAACAGAGATTTGGAAACAACATTTCTAAACACAAACAACATTTAGTTCCATTCATATCGAGGTGAAAAATACCGCATTGTGATGTAGTGATGTCCCACATGTTACATCTTCAACCATTATTTTTTGTTGTTATTGTTGGAAATAACAATTTTAGCATTCTTTAAAAGTAAATAAGTATGGATATTATTAAATAAAGCTATTTGATGATAAACTCAAGTTTGGTGTGAATTTGAAGCATTTGAAGTATTATTTAAGAACAAAACAAGGTTTGGATGTAACAGGACGGTAGCCTCCGGTTACATCCACAACTTCTCCATAGTCATTACATGTAAATACATATTGTGTACAAATTTACCAACTTTCCAAAATCATGTGACTTAAATTTGAATGAATTGTTAAACCACAATGTATGGGCTATCAAAAAAATGCATAATCAAAACTTGTACAAGTAATTTGAAAATTTGACCCCAATGTCACACTTTGTATTTTCTTCCAGCAGAAAATTCTCACTATACGGCTGAAATGTGAAGAAACCGCAGCTGGACCGTCGGACATCATCGACAAGCCGACAGCTAGGGCACCTGGGTGTGAGTTTTCACTTGAAACGGTGTCCTATCTTCAGGTGGATAAGATAATTAGACAGTCTCCACCAAAACAGAGTGATCTTGATCCTATCCCGACTAAGCTTCTGAAAACCTGCTTGCCAGTCATTTCTCCAGTGATGACATCTATCGTGAACTCATCAATAGTGCATGGTGTTGTCCCGCAAGCTCTCAAAACGGCAACCGTGACACCAGTTCCCAAACTTCGAACAATGAGTACTGATGAAGGCAACGTTTTGCAGAATTATAGACCTATCACAAATTTACCTTTTTGCGCAAAGGTTCTTGAGAAAGTTGTTGCTGAACAACTTGTACATCACCTCTCTCGTCATCAATTGAACGAACATTGTCAGTCCGCTTATAGGAAATTTCATGGGACGGAGACGGCCCTCACTCGCATCCAAAATGACATCTTGATGAGTGTTGACCGGGGACAAGTGGCCATCTTAGTCTTGCTGGATCTGAGTGCAGCCTTTGATGCCATCGACCACCAAATTCTTCTCCGGAGGCTGCAGTCTTATATAGGTGCATCACCTGACACTCTGCGATGGTTTACGTCCTACCTGTCCAACCGGCATCAGACAGTGCGAGTCCACACTCAAGACACTACGGGTCATGCGACCTATCCACTGAGGTTTGGAGTGCCACAAGGATCTGTCTTAGGTCCAATCCTCTTTAACATTTATATGCTTCCCATAGGTGATGTGATTCGTAAACATGGCCTAAGTTGTCATTTTTATGCGGATGACACAATGCTGTACCTGTCAATGTCGCCA